ATCGATCATCGGAGTCACGGCGGTGCCATGGAAGCCCCATGCGGGGCTACTGTTGACGCTGAGGGCTTCGGGCGAGCAGCTGCTGACGCGCCTACTCGAGGTGCCCAGGCCGCTGCCCCAGGTGGCGAGGCCGCGGACGGCGCCTCAACCAGGTTCGAAGTCCAGCCTTGCCCGCGAGAGAAATGCTGAAAAACAGGCCCTGGCGAAAGAGTCTCGCAAGAAGTGTTTCCAGTACTACTTCGGGGATACCCAGGTGACTCCCGAGGGGTGCGAGGATGATTGGCGCAGTGTGGGGAGCTCCCCAGACCCAGATGAGGACCCTGACCTTGGCTTGGACCCTTGGGAACACATGGGTGTCGTCGTCCCCCCCGAGCCCGTCGTGGACCCCTTCGAGGACGAGGAGGACCCCTGGGCCCACGAGTCGGAGTTCGCTGTCGCTCACATCGGCCAAGTCGCGGCATCGGCGTCCTCATTCAGCAGGGCTCCCCCGTCGTCCACGGTGACGGCCACGTCTTCTGAGGTTGCAGCGGCGTCGTCTGAGTCTTCTGAGGCCCATTTCAGACCGCCTGGCAATTCAGGGAAGGTCGACCCTGCGTCTGACCAAGGGTTGAGCCCTTGTGTCCTCTCGGGTGGGACGTTTGTCTCGGACCAGGGTTTCGACCTTCCAAGTGTGAATGAATTAAGTACCCAGCCCCCCCCCCCCCCGAGGCAACTAGCCAATCTGAGGCCCTGGACAATGGGGGCCACGCGTCGCTTGTGGAATTTCAGGTTTCCGAGGATGTTTGGACTCGGTGTCGTGCCGACGTGGGCTTCTTGCCTGCGGTGCAGTGCTCCCCTCATCCTTCTGTCCTCGCCTCCGTAGCCGTTCGGCTTATGTCTCAGGGCTCGGCCCAGGCGGTCAGCTCTTTATACGCAGCGTGGGTGCGAACTGTTGAAACCTCTCTTCACGAGCACCATGGCAGTCAGGACTTGTCTGAGGTCAGTCGCAGTGCTGGGCCCAGTTTCAAAGAGAGCGTGGTACACCACTCTGTTCGGCATCGTGCGGCAGCGTCGCGCGATCAACTAGCAGGATGGTGGGCCAGGTTACACACACTACTTTTCAGCTTGGGGCGTCACTCCAGGCGGCAGAACGGTGACAAGCAGAGGGAGTTTTTATTCACATCTATCGGTGAGCTGGTCTCAGAGTGCCCTCAGCAGGCACACACAGGACTTCGAGTTCAGGCCAGGAAGAATGGTGATCCATCATGGCGTCGCTGGCAGAGTTTCTTCAAAACGATTCGTGTTGCGGAGCGTGCTGACATCGAGATTTTTGCGCAGAGTGCTAAGCGTATCGCTAGCAGGTGCCAGCGACGGGCGCTTGCTTCGTCACTGCGAGAGTTTGGCGAGTGGATGGAGACAGCCCCAGCCTTGGGGAAGCTCCACAAGTGCATCAAAGACGACCCTCTCGTGCCTATTGAGGTCGAAGTGGATGACACGATGCTGTTTCATCCCAAGGAAGTCATCGATCACAAGTCGGCCAAGTGGCGCATGCTGTGGTGTCCCACTCGTGATGATGTTGAGGAGGTCAAGGAATGTTTTCGGCAGGCAAAGGAGCGAGCTCAAACCGAGATTCTCCCTGAGATCACGGGGGACATGGTGCGAGCGGCGGCGCATCGGATGCGCCCACGTTCTGGCATGGGAGCTGATCAGATGTCTCCTCTTGACTTTGAGAGGCTCCCGCAGTCCGCTCTGACGGAGCTGGCCCAATTGTACATGCTGTGCGAGGAGCAGGTGGTGTGGCCGCACCAAGTCCTAGTGGTGCTCGGCCGCCTGCTGCCGAAGAAAGGCGGAGGCGATCGCATCATCGGCTTGCTGACGATGTTCGCACGCGTCTGGTCGCTCATACGGGAGCCCCTCGTGAGCGACTGGAGCGACGAGACGGCGGCCCATTGGGACGCAGCTGTGCAGGGCAATGCAGCCCTCCGCGAGGCGTTTGTTCGATCGCTTCAGGAAGAGGTTGGCCATGAGTTGTGCATACCATCAGGACACGGGCTTTTGGACATCGAGGCTTTCTACGACAGTATTCGCTGGCAGGTGTTGTTACCGAATGGGCTGAAGTTGGGATTTCCCGCGGCTGTTTTATGTCTCGAGACGCTCCAGTGTATGGCAGTTCGTACGCTGGGCCAGAGGGGAGCTTGGTCCTTACCCCTTATCCCCACCCAATCAATTGTCCAAGGATTGAGGTCTGGGACACGCTTTGCACGGATAGTTGTTTATTTCACGTTGCAGAAGATTTGCACGGCCCACCCTCGTATGGGCCACCGCATATGGGTGGATGACTTATCGCAGCGTGCAGTTGGGTCAGCAGCTTCAGTCACTAGTGATTTGATCAGGTGTCTCCGCGACACATGCCGAGGCCTCGCTCAGCTGCATCTTCGAGTGGCTCAGAAAAGCGTGGTGATGTGTTCGGCTTTCAAGGAGGCAGTCAAAGTTTCGAGGGCTTTGCGGAGAGCAGGGTTCACGGTCAAGGCGCAACGGACAGCGGCGTACCTTGGCACAGATCTGGGCAACGGCAGCGTGCATACCAGAGTTACGCGGCGGGCTCGGTTCCAGAAGTACGGCAAGATGCACGAGAAGATAAAGGGGTACAAGAAGGCAGGCAGGAGGTACCAGGTGGCGTCCAAGCTCGAGAGGCTTGGGGCCCAGGCTGCGGGATCTTATGCCTACCAGATCCATGGGGTTTTCGGCAGTTACCTCACCACCTACCGCCGACGGCTTGGAGCGGCTGTTGGGTCAGCGGCCCGCGGCCGCTGCCTCACGACGTTGATTGGGTTGAAGACGCCAGCTGATCCAGCTCTTCGTATGCCTGAAGAGTGTGTCAGATTGTGGTTTCGTATGTGGCAGCAGCATCCAGGCCTTCGAGCAGGGGTCCATGCTTCGTGGCCGGCGGTGGTCGCTCGCCTCCAGGGGGCCGAGCCGCAGCATCGTTCACGTCACATTCGCGGACCCTTGTCGGCCATGGTGGCCCTACTGCTCGACAATGGGTGGAATCCCCAGTCGGCGATCAGTTGGGCCATGCCACCGACAGACACTGGCGAGGTCATCGAGTGGCAGTTTCCCGACACGGCTTGGACAGGGTTCGTCGACGTCGACGCCCCGTCAGGATTGGTCGCGGATCTGCAGAGTTCGATCTCGGCGAAGCTGTGGCGGAAGGCCAGCGAGCACTTCTGCGGCGGCGGGGTCGAGCACGGCGTGGACATGATGTCGCTGCGCAGGCTTCACCAGCAGTTCGCCAGCATGCCGAGGGGCAACAGGATGGCGGAGGTGCTCAGCATGGTGGCGTCGGGCGGCAGCTGGCCGAGGGATAGGCGTGTTGACGCGGCAGGGGCGAAGGCGCTCGGGCTATCACGTCTCTGCCCTCGGTGCAACGAGGAGCCCGAGTCCATGTTCCACCGCGGGTGGGCGTGCTGCAAGAACGTCGGCTCTCCCGCCTACGATCGGTCGCAGGACTTGGTGGCGCAGGCCTACAGCAGACACGAGAGCGAGGAGTGCTACTGGCTGCGGGGGCTGATCCCAGCAGCCTGGACTGCGGTGAGTCCCCCGCAGACGGCCGAGGAATGGTTCGCGGCAGGCACGGCAGCGACCGACGACGACTGCTTGACGTTCGGGGTCGGCTCGGCCCAGCAGCCTCTATGGCTATTCGGCGACGCCAGCGGCGGCCCGACTCGGCCGACAGCCGTTTCAGGCGCGTCGGGCTGGCGGTCATCAGCATCAAGAGCTTTGACCCGCTGGGCATCGACGGCATGGTGATGGGGGGACTCCCAGGGGTGCGACAGAGTGTGCCCCGCGGAGAGCTGCTCGCCCTGCTCACGGCACTCAGGATGTCGAGAGGAGTTGTCAACTACGTCACGGACAACAGCGGCGTGGCGGACGGCTGGTACGCGAGGAAGTACGTGTGGCCCGTCGGCGACGACGCGGATTTGTGGCATCAGGTCGGCCAGGCCCTCACTGGGCGGGATCCAGCGGAGTTCACGGTCCTCTTCGTGAACTCGCACCTGTCCCCGCTGCAGGTTGCCCAGAGAGCTGCGCCGTGGCGGCTTGCAGTCGGCAACGCGGCGGTGGATGAGCTCGCTGGGCTGGCGGCCAGTCGTGTGCGCTTGGATGAAACCGAGCGCTATCGTGTGCACAAAATTGAAAAAGAGGCATATCAGATTCGTGTCAGGCTCGTTCGGGCCACGATTGATTCACTGGATGCTGAGCATGAGCTGGCGAAGGCCGGCGGTCCGAGGAGGAAAAAAGAGGCTGCGTGTGAACCACCGACGCCTCCAGCCCCTTCTGTGTGCCGCCAGTTTGCAACCAGTCACGTCCTTGACGATTCGGGCAAGCGTTGTAGAATATGCTGTAGCTCCGCTACCCAGGCCGCCAAGTCCGAATGGATTTTATCCCCTTGTTTTAAACCTCTTCCTGTGGACGGTAGGTTCTCTGCGTTGCCGTCGGGGGTTGTTTTACATGTTGGGGGGGGCTGGGTACATCGTAGTCATACAATGCGTTTGCATCAATCCTTGGGCCTCTGGTTTTGCTCGCGATGCGGGTATTATGCCAGTAGTGTCATCAGGTGTCTGGGTCAGGAATGTCCCAGGCGAACGAATGCGAATCGAGCTGAGTATTTAAATCGGATCGAAACCGATCGATGGCCGAAGGCTTTAAGCAAGGCCGAGAAGCTCACTCGTAAGCGCTCGTAGGCTCGTTTCGACTCGCATCGCGACTGTTCTCACTCACTCACTCCTCCTCCTCCTCCTCCTCCCCTCCCCCTCCCCCTCCTCCTCCTCCTCCTCCTTCTCCTCCTCCTCCTCCTCCTCCTCCTCCTCCTCCTCCTCCCTTCCCCCTCCCCCCCCCATCCCCCCCCCACTCTTGCTTCTACCTCCTTCCGTCTCCTTCTCCTCTCCTCCCTCCTCCCCTTCCTCCTCCTCCTCCTCCTTCCTCCTCCCCCCTCCCCCTCCATTTCCTCCTGCTCCGCTCACTGCTTCCTCCTCTCCTTCCGCTCTGCTCCTTCTTCCTTGTCCTCCTCCTCTGCTCCTAGTCCATCTCCTTTCCTCCTTCTTCCCCCTCCCTTTCCTCCTCCTCACTTCCCCCACATCGCACATCCCTACCTCCTCCCTCCTCCTCCTCCCTC